TTCCTGATCTTAAGACAGACTCTTGGTCAGATATACTGGATAAGTCTGCTCAAATATGCAATTTCTACTTCTATAAACCCCACATGATCTGGAATACAAACCTACTAGTATCTGTTCTTAAAGAAGTTGACTACTGACCGCTTTTTCACAGCACGTTCCACCTCCTACAAATATTCCGTTAATTGCTTTAAGAATAAGATCTCAGTATGTGCGTTATGTATGTACTCAGCTGCAATTATGAAAATCAAATGAGAATGTGAAGCATCATTGTGGTGAATGATGCAAATGGGGATCATCAAGAAGCACAGTATTGTTTTGCCTATACTTCTGTTTTAATATTCAGGCCCTTTCCTGGCTCAAAAATAAATATATAATGCAATCTAAACAGACGTGAGAGGGAATAATATCGTGCACAGCAGACAACCTACAATAACAGCACAGTGAACTCCGGCTCTATCCCACTTAAAAGCCCCTGCTGCAGAATTAAGCTTTTACACATTCAATTTCCTGCCAATTTGACGACAACATGACAGTGAATATCTGCCGGGATAAAACGCCAACTTTGTTTGTCTGTTTGAGCAAGAACACTGGAGCTGTTTTACAACTGGTTTTAGCCAAGTTTACAGTCAACAGAGGTGCACTTACGAATTAGCATAAAAGACAATGTGAGATGGAGCACTACACAGAAACAAAAAGCTACTTAAATTACAATAAATTAAGTTCATGTTTTCTTTTAAATGTCCTATATTACACAAAATTGACTCTTGTGAGCTTTAAGTCATGTTATAATGTTGATACCTCATCAAAAACATAACCTGGAGTTGTGTTTTGTTTCATTCATACATGTTTGAGTAATCTTTTATTATTAAACTATCTACAAAAAGCTTTGATGTTAAAAACACATGATTCATTTTCTGCTATCATACTTTTGAATAAATTGCAATCTATCTATCGATTTTAGTATGTTTGTCTTGGAAAAATCATGTGTTTTTATATATTTAATATTTATAGTGATTTTAATTAATTTAACTAATTGTTTATGGAACAAACCATTCTGCACTGGAGCACTGTAACACTTTATTTTGTAATTGTGTTTTTATACGTATTACTGGATAAAATGTGGATGAATGAAATGTGAAATGTGGGACCTGCCTCTCAAATCTCCAAAACAAATTTACCTATGGGTACGAATAAAGCAACCCTAACCCCTATAAGTGCAAAATGCTCTGTTCCAGCTTGTGATATCATGTGTTAGTGTGAGTTTTCAAGTTAACAGCTACGGTTTACCTTTAGTTCAGTAGAGATTAGCAATTCCAGACATGAGCCAGATGACTCTAGTGAAGATGTATGGAATTTAAAAACACTGTGGAGCAATTCCTGTATTACCACATGACATCACAAGGTGGAACAGAGTGTTTTCTGTTTGCAAGAAGAACTAAGCCTAAATGTGCAGAGTTTGTGTGTTAAACATATGTAAGTGAAACAAAACACAATTCCAGGTGTGTTTTTGATGAGGAAATACATTTATAACAATGATCAGAAAATATTGTTATATGGGCCCTTTACATGACATTGATCAGCTTTCAGTATGTACATAAATTATATTATATTTTGTTTTCTTATTAGTTTGTCGATTGTAAACCACATTTAAACACATTCTTAAAGACATTGCTTCCTCCAGACTAATTTTTGTAAGGATCCTTTTAAACTTCTTTCATTCCAGTCAGTTTTTGCTTAACATTCTGACCTCTGATAAGGTCACCTCTCTGACACCTGCAGCCATTGGTCTCTCCACAGTAAACTTGATCTCTAGTCGAGTGTGACTTTCATGTTTGCCCCCCCACCTGTACCTCCACCAGTCAGGACATCCCACCTCCCCTCTCCTCCTCTTCTCCCCCCCTCCTCTCTCTCTCCTCCGCCCCATGCTGCTCGCGCCCACTCCATCTCTTCCCCGTTGCCCTGAACTGCCAGAGCTGCGGTGAGGGCTTCAAAAACACAATCCGACTGTCGGCAAAGGTCAGATTTCTCACTCTGCGTGTCTCTGCGCTTTGGGCACAAAAGCCGCTGAATTCACATCTTTCAAGCGGGCCCTGCGCCTTTGTCCCAGGGATCGGAGGGGGACTGTGCACCAGACCTGCCCCCCCCGGAGTGCACGATCGGGGGCGAGCCGGACGTCTGCAGCCCCTGGTTTTTGACTGATGTCACGTGCACACACACCGCTCACACGCACGCTAGGGTTTTCTGAGGCTGCCCTGGACATTCCCCCCGCGCTGCGCCCAACAATAGTGCTCTGCCCACTTCAAACAGAAAGCCCCGCAGATGCTTTTGAAAAGTAATGGTTTTAGGCCTCTAAGATGGCAGCTCGGGCCAGAGGGCTGTAATGCATGAAGTAGAGTAACCTGCCTCCCACAGACACTCAATGGAGTTTTTTTTTATTTTTTTTTTTATCACTGCCAACCAAATACGCCCAGAATATCACAATATCAAGAGCAAAATCCTAGAAGGTTTTTGTTGTCATCTCTTCACGCAGGACAAAGAGAGACGATGTAAGGGGATAAGAGCAATATTCGTCTCATTTCTTCACCTGAGATGACCTGCTGTTGTAAATCACTCACCTGGGAGTTCAAAGGCACACACACACAGTAGCCCGTATACGTGGGCTATAGAGTTGTCCTTATGCTATTTCAGTAATGTAAATACCAGAAGACTGTATTGGCACAAACCTGGCAACACAGCACGTTTTTAGAAGAAGATTGAAGATTTGAACAATATGAAAAAGTGTAAAGAACTAAATACCATTACTCAAAAAATCCACAAAATTATTAAATATAGTATATATTTTCATATTTTAATAATTTAGTGAGTTTTTTTTCATCATTATAACATACAAACACTACAAACATGGCATCATAATCAGTTAAGCCTTTTGAATAGATTTTGACTATTTGCCACCGTGACACCTTTTCTTTGGATAATTTAGGTGTGTGCACTGATTCATCCTTTAACTTTTTAGCTTAATTCTATATATAGCCCTTTTATCTGGTGCAAGCTTTGACTCTGACCCAAAGACGTGTTGTGACTAGATTGTTCTTATACTTCAACTTATAGTAAATATTTCAATACAATGTCTTCAAAGCAGCTATTATGACCCATTAGAACTTGTTTTAAATACACGATTGGCAGCTACAAAGCCGTTTGTATGTAAAATGGTGGTAGGGGGTATTGTATTACTGTAATGTAATGTTGGCACATACTGAACTTGTCAAAACACATAGTATTAAGTGTTCTTTCTCCATAGGAACTTGTTTATCCAGTAAACTAAACATGCAAAGATGTGCTGTTTGACAAATAGATGACAGATTTAATCAACTTAACAGAAAGTGAGTGCGTGCCAACTCTAGTCACAATAAAAAATGTCACCAAAACAATATCTGTTATTACAGTTAAAACTTGGCCCGCGGCTTGAACTTTTTGACCATATAAGGGCATTTCTGTTTCTGTCAGTTAAAAGGAGGAGACTGTCTTTATTTCTCCATTATTAACCCGCATGAGTCATCATTTCAAATCAACCAAAACCTGTTTTATGTGCATACTTTGGACTTTACAAACAACAGCCGGGAACTGAAGCTTGTCCTGTGTATCACTGAAGCCATAAAGGTGCTGTTTCCTCTTTTGTGTCCCTGTAATAAAGCTGCTCAAAAGTCAACTTCAAACCAGGACGTTTTCCCTCAAACTCCACATTCTTGAACTATAGCCCTGTTTATTGTAAGTATGTATTTTGTTCAAATGGAGTTGCTTTGCATGGCACTGCGGAAGAAACTGCCAGGCAAATCAGGGGTTTGTCTTATAAAGTATTCATTGTCACCTGGTAACGGCTGGCCTTTATCATTTCACCTGAAATTACAATGAAAACTGATAGCGTGTTATCAGACTCACAGAGGGAACTGAGCAAAGCCACCACAGCACACCAAAGGGAGCTTTTTATATACTTTTACAGTTTTTATCATTTAACTGCTAATGAATCTGAAACTGTATTTAAGAGTCATAACACTTTGGTTATATCAGCAAAAGGAAGAGAAAGCATTCTGTTTGCAAAAAAAGACAAATATATCACTGCAGAAGTATGAGTAGAGGAGAAGCAGTATCAAGTATCAACAAAAAACTGGAAAAAAATAAATTAATAAAACACACACACACGCGCACATGCGCGCACACACACACACACACACACACACACACACACACAAACAACAAAATTAAACACCAACTAGAATGTGCATGTCACTTTTGGTGTGGAATGGTAGAAAAACATTGTTACACACTTTTTGACCATTGCAAGATAGGGCCAAAGATATCATCTGTAGCCACTAGAGGTCAGTAGGGGACCGAGTGGTTAGTTTTAGTGACCTCGGTTGCAAAGTAGCGTACAGCTGCCGGGACTGCCACTACTACTATTACTCATATCTAAAAGACAACATTGCCTATGCATTATACAGCACAAAAGAGCAAAAGTCCATACAACATGATTTGCTCTTTGTTCCTCTAAAATGAGAAATCAAACACTTGCAACTTACAGAAAACCAAAGAAATATTAGGTGCAAATATTAGTTTTATAGTATTTTACAATGCTACAAATGTGTCCAAAAATGTGCCATAACCATTATTTCAGTTAACAGAAAACTCATACAATTAAATTAGTAATTCCTTATGAGGTGCTATAAAATCATTTTACTTTTGCAGTCCCCTAAAACTACTTCCAAACTTTTATGGCCTCTCGTCATGGCTAAACTCCTGTATTCTTTCCCTGTATTGTCCAAACTGTCACTTTCCTGTGCCTCCTCCCTTTTAAAGCCTCAGCCCCAGCTCATTTGAATAGAGGCAGAGCAGGCTCCACCCCGAGAGAGTTGAAAGGCTAGACGACCACAAAGATGGAGAAGGCCAGCCCACTCAGGGAGGGGGAAAAAACAGTGGCCCGGCTCCTCTGCCATAATTTCCTATGAGCCTATTGAGACAACATCACCAACCAACTGCTTCGGCTGAGCGCGCGTGTGTGCTCTGGTCTAGTGTGTGAGCGGGAGAGAGGAGGAGAGCAGAGAAGGAGAGAGCTACACAGACACAGAGAGCCAGGCAAGAGGAAGGGAAGGGGCAGGTTCAACCCCCTCACCCCCCACCACCACCACCACCGCCACTGTTGTCGAACCGCGAGAAGGAGGCGGGGCCAAAACCAGGAGAGCTGCCAATCAAACGTGCTCGTGGCAGCCGGCATTATCTCAGCAACAAACTATTGACAGATTACATGTCAAGGAGTTTAGTGCATGATTGAGAGGGAAGGCTTGTTTTTTTAGTGACTTTTCTTCAACTTCCCCACCATTCGAATGACTTTGAATCCAGAGTTTGAAGTTGTATTATGAAAGTTACATGTCTGAGAGGATTTAAGATCGACTTCCCTGAATATGGTGAGTACTATTACTACTACTACTACTATCTTCTTCTTTTTTATTAGCTGTCAGTTTTAAGGAGTGCCTTTATCTCTATGTATACAACGCAGAGTTAGGTGCCCGTGTATAGCGTAGGTGCCCGGCAGTTGCAACACCCTTATTTATAGCTCTTTGACAGTGCCCAGAGGTGACTACAATATCAAATATGATTCTTGCGAGCGCAGTACGAGTGGTGACGCTGGGGCAGAAAGTTCATCCAAAGCAGTTTCATTTTCTGTTACTAACAAAACATTTATTTGAGCTAGTCTGTTTAGTTCTTTGTGTTTTTCAGTCATACATTTACACGCTGTAGTGTTAGTTACAAACGCGATGCTACTTGGGTGCATTGAATGGCCTAAGGGCTAGTTGCCAAGGGGACAAAGCAAACAAACTGTTGTGTTGCTTATATGCTGTCTCACATGTAAAAGGGAACCAGGCTAGCACCTTAGCAGCTACTTAATAAGCCTATGTATTTCACACGTAGAACTATTGTGATAATATGCGGACATGTACTGTACTAGACATCTGTTTGGACAGCAATTTTTAGTTTTACTAACGTGCCCATAACAACTGCGACTTAACTTTGTACGTCAGAACATTACACTGATAGCTTGATAAAAATACAGAATAGTAAAATATTATCTGCTATAAAAACATCACTATAATAACTAATAAACACTATAACTATAACTACTACAATTACTATATTAGAATACATTACAAAGTTAGATATAAGTTCACACTTTTTTTCAATGTTCTTCTATTACTACGACTAATTAATGATTCATGATTTTTTTAAAGAACTATGCCTAATAATATACCTAGATACTTTCTGTAAATGAATACTGCTTAATAATAATCAATGACATAATCAATGACATTTCGTTTGTGTGTACACCTTTGTATGACCAGTTACACCGCAGCTCAAGTTGCCTTTATAAACTCTATTTACTGATATTTATGCTGAAATATTTTTAATCTGACGTGTCAAATATTATCAGCCCAAGCAAGTTCTTGTCAAAACACACCATGCTTTTTATAGGACACACGGCAGAGACGGTAGTGCACGTAGATATAATTCTGACTACTCCACAAGTGAGCTGCAACTTTTCAAACACGCTTTGATCGAACGCATTTGTAGATGGCGTCTTCTTTACTTCTCACTCTAAAACAAAATATTTATAATGAGGAAGAGATGTGTTTTTATTTTTAGACTCATATCAGCTTGAGTATAAATTTAAATCATGTGAATTTGAACTTTTTTTAAATAACTGATTTTGAAAGTATGGTAAACTGTAATCTATATTCTTCTTATATGTATTTATATATTTAATAGGCTATATGATATTGTTATTTGCTGCTTTTATGTACAATTTCAAATGTAGATTCGAATTATAAAGATTGGCAGAGAAGAGAGGTTGTGTGCTTGGCTGCCTGTGACCGCATAGTTGCACAAACACGTTGCACAGTCTCGAGTGTCTGTTCATTATTATTACTGCCGGTTATTTAAGGTACCTTTGCATTATACTTTAAAAATCACAACAAACAAGTACAAGTGTTATTCTGGCACACCTTCATTTCCAAGTTTTCGTCAGCTAGGGAAATGTTTTTCTAGCCTCCCATGACTCATAATGTTGATTGCATTCTACTTCAGTGGCTTGTCTCATTAACCCCAGCTATATTTTTATGGTCATTTATTTTTTTTTACCTTGGAAATGCGCACAAAAAATAGCCAAAAATATAAAATCAAGTTGTATTTCAAAAGGGCCTTTAATAATTTTTATCACAATTTTCGCAATAACCCCGAATCAATTTGATGTCTTAAGCAATAAAATATGCTGTTGCGCTCTTCCTATTCCTTGGCAGTAAATTTACATTTTTTAATTAAACTAGCTGGAATTTTTATTAGGGGGCAGGGCTATGCTAATGGGAATGTTGTGTACAGCAGATTAACAGAGTTTGGATATAAATTTAAATAGAGAAAGAAGAGGTGAGGATGAAATCGGACTATATGTGTAATATGGGCCAGTTGTGTTTAACCCGTTTGATGGCTGTCTCTCCAGAGGCGTCCTGGAAGTGTCAGGGCTCCACGGCAACCAGGTGATTAGGATCGCCTTGTCAACCGAAGGAAAAACACAGACAGGAAAATAGAATATATTCAAACAGGCTCAAGTGTATGCCTGCTCGTTTTTAGCTGGGATGATCATTGATTTCTATTGAAAGCCTCGATATTGTAAATATATTCTGTAAAATGTATACTTTCATTGTATAAATATAGTATAAGCTGCAATGAGGTAGTTTTATTTATTAATATTCTTTATTTGATGTATTTGAGTGTTGTTAGCGCAGTAGTGTTCCTCGCAGTTCCCTTAGTTCATTATAGCTGAAGTATGTATTTAGAATTTGATATTTAAATTGGCAACTTGCATAGTTTACGTATGTGCTTAAAACTGTCCCTCCGCATATCTTCTTCTTATCTCAGCTTTTCACAAAATTTAGATTCATTTTCAACAAAAAAGAAAAAAAGAGAAACTTTTTAAATTGTAATTTCTGATCGTAAACATAAATATTCAGATGATTTTTTATATAAATTGTATTGAATCCTAACTTATCGTATAGTTTCCACAGTTTGCCGGTGCGCTTTTGTGTGACTGATGCTGCGCTGGCTGGTGTGTGTTGTGCCTATAGCAGCTCATCGGGGGGAGAGCGGAGAGGGGAGAGGGGGGACCAGCGGGACCAGGCCACACGGGACGGGGCGGGAGGTGCGTGTGTGTGCGCGCGTGTGTGTGCGTGTGTGTGTGCAGCTCTGTGTGTCAGGGGGGTGAACCCGAAACAGAAAAGACAGCTGATAGACCATGTGCCCAGTCATCTCCAACAAGCACACCATAATTACCTTAACCCCGTTCTTTTAAACCTTTCCAAGAGGATTTTGTTTCTCTTTTCTTGTGGGCGAAACACATCAAACGCTCTTCTAAAGTCCGGATGCACGTGTGTGGGGGGCCGCTCGGCGCTGCATCTCTTCTCTAAGTGGGCTAGAGTTGATACGGACTGGCGAGCGCATGCAAAGAGCCAGCTTCTCGTCCCTCCCTGCTCCTCTCCAGCTCTGGCCAGCATCTAATTAAAACCTCAAAGCTTCCCAATCTGGATTAATGGGCTAATTAATACGAGAAATATTCCTCAGCGATAAACAGGTAGCACCTTTAGATATTGCTTGCATTTCATACGTCAAATCTGTCAAGTTTTAGTGACGCTGGATACACACACCTTTTATTATACATTAATACGGTAGTAATACATATGTAATAACACATGTAAGTGAATTTGATTTTTAATAGATTTGAAATTAGCCACGGTGTATATTATAATCCATTTAATTTTATATTCTAATAATTATGATAAAATATTTGTAATTCAACATTAACAATATGATGTATTTTTAAGTGTAGATATTTTTAAAACTTTTATTATATTAAAAAAGTCAAAATTTTTTAAAAAGTTTTTACTCTAAAAAAATTACATTTCAATTCAGAAATTTGAACGGAATAAAAATATGAATCAGTCTGGCATCTGAATTTGCCATGTCATGCCCAGCCAGTAAATCCCCCCCTTTTAGTGTTCTTTATGACGTCCTAATCTCACATATGAAAATGATAATTTCATGCAAAGTAAAGGGAGAGGCGTAATCTCCAGTGTCTGATATGGCGTAGAAGAGGAAGAAAAGGGGCCAAAATGAAGAGGTAATTAGTGAAGTGGAAGAGACTGGGGCTGGGGCTCTATCCCGCGCTACTAGCCATGAATGAATTTGCATGCCCTGCTTATCTACACACACTTATTAGGCCATGGCTAAAAGACCGATTAAGACGCACAAAAACGTGGTACTAATCCCTTTAAATTTGGCGAGGGGGGGTCCGACTTTGGTTAGAGGGGGGTCTTTAAGGTGCGGAAAGGTTGTATGGAATGTGACACGCCGCACGTTTCCGGTTCGGTGGGGAGATGAGTGGAGAGGAAGAAGAGGAGGAAGAGGAGGGTTAACTGTTTAATGACAACACCAGTGATTGACACCAGTAATAAAGTGATGGTTTATCAGCTGACCCTCTTATCAGGAGGAACAAATATAGCCGGTGGGGGTCAGTCGGGGTTAAGACAATGATGGAGGAGCTCGGAGTGGGCCACCAGCATTGTACCAGATACGCCAGTTTTTCAGGTGCCTTTAAAAGTTTGTCAAACACCACGAGAACGAATGGACAGATCTTAGTTCAAACTTCGGAAAATTCTGAAATCACTCATGTTGTTTCTAGGAACAATTTGTCTTAACACTTACAGACTTGTTGACTCAAAGCAAGACATACAAGCAAGATTCGGAAAAAGTTTAATCACTGCAAAGATGAAGGGAGTTAAAATGCACATCTGACACAAATGTAAGTAAATGTATAAATAATATTAACTAATGTGTAATTTTACATTTAATGGTAGCTACACATCTCAACTAAATCTTAAAAGAGGCAACAAAAACTTCAGATATCAAACATTGTAACTCTGAAATTTGCTCTTACACACTTCTCTCCTTTTTTTGAGAATTTGTCCTAAAAAGTAAAATGGTAAAGTTGGCATTTCAGCACTTTTTTGTGTGAATATGTGAACTTTTTTTTTTTTTTAATGTTTTTAGTAATATCTGTCCTAATCTAGTGTCTCTCCCCCACGTCGCCACTTCTTTTCTCTCTCCTCTTGGGTCAGTCACCGAATTTGTCCTAAAATGTCAAATTGTAAAGTTTGTATTTCAAGTGAAACTAGATTTGTTTTTAGTAATATCTGCCCCAAACTAGTCCTTTTAATCCTGGTCTGGTCTCTCTCCCCCACCTCGCCACTTCTTTTCTCTCTCCTCTTGGGTCAGTAGCTGGCGCACCCGTAATAATGAGTGTCTGTACATGATAAATCCGCAGCTGTTCTTTTCTGTCACTGGCCAACTGCGAGAGAGAGAC